ATATATAATATTGTATACACTGCCATATCTGCCTCTGAGCTAACTTACCTGAACTGTCTTAATCACTGCTCTTATCAAATGTCCAGTCTGCATCATTCTCATGATCGCTAAAAATCTCATCCTCACTTTCATATGTAATCAAAAGTATTGCAATTAAAATTGTATCCATAATTCAAATTCCATTAACATATGACTAATCAACATTACTAGCATTCATGTTGCTATTGTTACAACTTTAAAAAAAAAATCCCAGCTGACCTTGCTAGCTAGCTAACCCATTGCAATAATATTGAACACAAACAGTTGTTCAATTTACAAAAAACTACTTTAATAAAAACTTGTTTAGTTGTGAATTTGTTATTGTAACTTACTGGAGGTGATGTCTCAGATATTTTTGTAAAGTAGGTCTTTTTTCAAAAAATAAAAAAAATAAATAAAATAATAAAAATTAACGTTGGTCTTAAAGAAACAATGGCAGGGAAATTAACATAAATATCATGTTGCCATATGGCAACACCATGGGGTAGAGGGTTAAGAATTTTGTTCATTAACATTTAATCTTTCTTACAGTAAATCGCTTTCGCACACAGTGACTTCACTCAGAAGTTCTCTATTTCACTAAATTGTGCAGGTCTCGTCTTCACTGCGTCCATATGGAAATATTATTGGATGGTCATTCTTACTTTGTTGTGATTGGCTGCTATATTCATGCTGCATAGCAACTAGTGCTTAGCCATTAAGTCATTTTAGGAAGGATGGCGAATCATTATTTTTTTGAGGTCAAGTGCAGACATCCCACACTGCAAAAACTAGCTTACCGACTTTACCAAACATTCTGTGTATTCCCAGTTTTGCTTCACCCTTACATTTACACAACAATGATGTGGCCAACGAAAACAAAGCAATTGTTTCTTTGCATTTTGGAAGTTTTGTGCATGCTTTAGATTCATTCATTCATTTTCTTTTTGTCTTAGTCCATTTATTAATCAGGGATCACCACAGCGGAATGAATCACTAACTTATCCAGCATTTGTTTTACGCAGCGGATGCCTTTCCAGCTGCAACCTATAACTGGGAAACACCCACACACTTTTACACTACGGATAATTAAGCTTATTCGATTCACCTATACCACATGTCTTTGGACTGTGGGGGAAACCGGATCTCCCAGAGGAAACCCACGTGAACATGGGGAGAACATGCAACCTCCACAAAGATATGCCAACTAACCCAGTTGGTGCTCGAACCAGCGAGCTTCTTGCTGTGAGGCAATCGTGCTAATTCCTATTAAAAACAGCTTAAATTTCTCATCTCCCAAATGGACTCCAGCAGTCTTTGTCTTTAAGTACGATTGTGGCTTAAAAGGCTTGTGCTCCGCCATTGGAAGTTGTCTCTACCTCCTGCATTTCAAATGTGGATTGCGGACATGATGTTGGTAATACAGATTGAAAAACTGAGATTTCTGAGGACACATTCTATTGAAAATGTTTTCACTGTTTGGGGTTTATTTCTTAACTATCTGTATGAACAGACCAACCACTCAACCTCTTTGGATTCTTCAGAGACTTAATGTACCTAATTTTACCTTACCTTACTTTTTTCTCCATTTTCTGTTGTCACCCGCTAAACTATGTTGTCATTGTTGTTTTGTTCAATGATTTATTTTATGAGATTTGTCCAGGACAGTGCCAAGTGGTGTGTGTGTGTAAAATCTGCTTAACATTTTTTTTACGCATATATGGCAATGTATCATATGTATGCCATGTGTACATATGATACAGTTGTCTGCCATCGTTGTTTTGGTACTCGCCTGATGTCACAGGTTTCACAAAATCATACTTTATGGTAAAGACAATAACAGCATATACTTTTCAGAAACGTACACATCGACCTGTTTGTCAAAAGTTTGCATTTCAAGCCATGTTGTGTAAATGAGCGGCCAAAACACATACAAGAGTTCAAAGTTAAGTTAAAAATATTGTGTGAACGCACCTTTATTTCGGCTATGCAGCTGCTATCAACCATAAAGCTGTGGGTCACCTCAGATAGTCAAAGCTTTGCAGGCATGTTTATGACCGTGAAAACAAGATTTTAAGATTCTATTTCAGACAACTACATTTTTTCTTCAGATCAAACTGACTTACAGCATCATAAAGCAGTGTTTCCCAACCCTGTTCCAGGAGGCACACCAACAGTACACACTTTGGATGTCTCCCCTATCTGACCCATTCATTTGAGGTTTTGGAAACTCTTCTATTGTTCTGATGAGTTGATACAGGTGTGTTCAACTAGGAAGAGGTTAAAAATGTGTACTGATGTGCCTTCTTCAGGAACAGAGTTAGGAAACACTGATATAAAGGATGAATGAATGAAATACGATGTTCTTGTAGTACAAACGCAAGTGCTTCATTATCTCAGTCAGATGAATGTATTTAAAAACTGTGAAGGAGTGTTTGACACGTACAATCTTGTTAACCTGACATGTTATTTGCACTATTACCCAGTGGCTTTCTTGAGGTTCATTCTGGTTCCCCGTTACACACCATCATGCTTTGCAGAAACACCTGCACCGCAGAGCTTTTTTTTTAAACTTCCTGAGAAAGTTTTAGTGTCATCTTTTAGAAAGCAGTATACATTTTACACGTGAGAAGTCGTCATGAATTCACGTTTCTGTCAAGACCACAGCATAAATGCTCCACGCTGTTATTGTGACTGTTTCGAGATGATGTGTACGAACTTTAAGGGTGGGTGGGCAGTCTGACCTTACAAAAGCACCTGTTCTGGCTCTTTATGATTATGATTAATCATGTAATGTAAGCTCATGTTGAGTGTGGTGCAAAAATGTTGCACGTGAGATTGAGAAAACAAGGGGTATCATGCAAGAAACGTCTGGATCATAAAAAAAGGTGTTCTTTAGCATCTATATATTTTCTTTTTTGTCTTTCTAATATTGGTCGTAGGCTACTGACGTTTTCATGCATTGAAACAATTAAAGTGTAGAGCTTAATTAGAATGTGTGAAGCATTTCATTTCATTTCTATACTCTAGAATGTGTGCTGCTAATTAAATGTTTTATGTGGAAAAAAAACCTACGATACACTTTTACAATGAATTACAGAATAAACTATTTAAATGGCATTCATTTTATCAACAGATTATTCCAAACTTGTATGTACCAACTTTAACTATATTAAGAACAAGAATGTGGAAGCATTTGTAATGTAGCATTTTATGCTGCACTGTAAAACCCAAGTCAACTTAATCAAATGAACTGAGTGTAGTTAACTCAAAATTTACTGAAAGTTAATTCTACTCTTTTGAAAAGAGTATTGAACTCAGTGTTGAAGGTAATGAGTTAATTAAATACCTCATTACTTCAACTTAAATGGAATAAGTTCACAGTACTCGTATAGATTAGTGTTTAACTGAAATTGGTTTTAAACTAGCAATCGGTTTAATAAAACGGTTTGAGTTGACTTAACTTATAGGGTTGTACAGTACTTGGTTGGTTTGAGTTCTGTTCATTAATTAGGTTTTACTGTGCTAAAATTGTTTTATTTCCTCAAATAAGTTTACTGAACTTATTAGAATTAGCTTTTGAACTCAAATAGTTTGTTGCAATCAGTTTCCTCAAACAGTTTAAGTTACCTTAAATTTTCGGGTTTTACAGTGTCTCTCTATCCGGTTTTACTCATTTGTCAGCATTAAGTTTCTAATAATTTAAAATGTAATAAAATGTGTGTATGGTTACTTATTTTGAAATATTTAAAGTATGTACTGGCCAAAATAGTATTGTTATGATCACCAACTATTATCATTATTATTATTACACAATATCATAATATTATGTTGTTACATCGATTTGTTGATATTCTACTCAAGATATTTAAAACAGGAATTTGATTTTATTTACTTTAATCATCTAAGAACAATATATTTGAATTTCATTCTCAGATTTCAAATATAACAGTTAACTATTAAGGCAAAAGTATATTTAATAAATTAATATAAACGATGTTAAGATGTAATATTAATCTGTTACTGTATTGATGAAGCTTTTGAATACAAAAATATCATGCACAATATGTTAATTTGTTCTTACTTTAGATAAAAGTAACTTACATTTATATATTTTTTTTTATTTAAATGCACATCTTCAGGAACTGTGTATCTATTTCTAATGCAAACTAGCACACTTGAACAAAAGGGGAAAATTTAGTAAATGTTGTCATTTCTTGTTCTAACATGCCAAATTGCTTATTTATCAGTAATACACTGTAAAAACCAAAAAGTTACGGTAACTCAAACCATTTGTGGAAATCAATTGCAACAAAGCATTTAAGTTCAAAAAATATTCCTAATGAGTCATGTGAACTTAATCCCTTTGATTAAATGAAGCAATTTGAGCACAGTGAAACCCAATAAATGAAGAGAACTCAAACCAACAGAGTACTCAAAAACCCAGTAAGTTGAGGAAACTCAAATAGTTTGCAATCGGTTTCGAGTTAAACTAATCTATAGGAGTACTGTGAACTTACTCCATTTCAGTTGAAGTAATGAGGTATATATTTAACTCTTTAACTTCAAAACTTTCAGTTAATTTTGAGTTAACTACAATCATTTCATTTGATACAGCTGACTGTTGTGTTTTACAGTTCAATAATAATAATGTAATAATATCAGCATAAATAAATGTAAAGTATATCTAAATTACCCAGGACCACAAAACCTTAAGCCAACAGTAAATTTCCATTGAATTATAGATTTTCTTTGACAAAGTATTGACAAAAAGCATTAAAATATATAAGTAAAGATGAATTATATCCATGAAGATATTTTGATAATTCCCAGCATAAAAATATCCAAACTTTTATGAGTAGTAATATGCATCACAAATAACCTAATTTGTACTTTGAAGGAGATTATTCCAATTTTTCAATTTTATTTTCAGATAGGTATCTTTTAAATAGTTGTAGCCTATTTTTGCCAAATATTGTCCATTTTTCTGATGATGCATAAAAACAGAAAACAAACACTTATGACTGCTTTTGTGGTCCAGTGCTGTTAATGGTCTCCTTATTTAGATAATCACGTCATAAAGTGTCTGAGCTTAACCACCGATACATCTTAAACGCACTGCGCAACATTAGCGACCGTTTTGTTTACACGGTGATTAAAAACAGTCCTGACTAATAGTGTCCAGCAGTGCTCAGAGTGCAGAAGGTTAGAGATGCTGTGACGTGCGCTCATTAGTCATCAGAACTCAAGTCAATCACACACACTCGCGCCCTCAGTTCTTCAGGAGGGGAGATGCGCTTCACTGCCCCACTGCCACACTTAAACCCAACAGCAGCACAAATGACCAAACCGAACACGTCTGTCCCGTGGGCAGGGGTAAGTGGACAGCTATGATATATACAGTACCACCTAGTAGTTTAATATAAAAGCATGGTCCTCCGGTTTCAATTTACGCGATAGTCAGACGACGCGACAGACGCTGTGGCATTACACTAGAGTGTAGTTACTGTTTACAGTCCATGACTTCATTTAGCCTATTTAAAACATTGTATACTTTTTTTTCATCTGTGTTAAGGATTCAAGAGAGTTGAATTTTTCAATAAGGAAGTAAAAGTGAAGGGCGACGTTTAAAAGCTCGTGAATGTTTGTCCACAGAGGCTCTTGAGAGTGTTTGCGTGATCCTTGGCTTGAGCTCAATGTCTTCTGAATGTACGTGGTCGATTCTCGTCGTGTTGGGCTTCATCCTGGCTGCAGATGCTCATGGAGGTATATGACAGTTGTTCTTATCATTTTATTTTGCTACGAAAATGTGTAGATACTGTTTGTTTAAATAGCCTGTTATGAAAAGGTTTAGTCTAAATGTTTTGGAGCGAAGTCCCGTCTGGTCACTAAGACATGTATTTATTTGATCAACAAAATTGAGTACAGTACAATAAAACTGCAGCTGCTATTGCTGAATACTATTTTAAATTAAAACACACGTGTTTTACGTGAATATATATTTTAATATAGGCTAATTTAATCTTGTAATTAAGAGCAGAATTAACAGCAGCCATTTCTCCAGGTTGTATGTAGCATATGTCTTTTTCATATACAAACCTCACATATCCCCAGCTTTTGCAATGTTTTTCACTAATCTCAGGCAATATATGTCTATGCTTAACATTTAATCACATTTCATACATGATCATGATTAACAAAAATGGACCATCTTTAAATATTTTACATGATTATTAGCAGGCATAACTTGAAATATATTTTTACAGGTATTATAGGCAACCTTAGTACTAAGTCATTTTATTGTAATCAAAAAATATTAAAAATGTTAAAATGTAAAACTGTAAACAATGCAAGCTGTCATATGCTTACAGATTTTGTAAATGGTTTTCATTGTTTTCTGCTTATCTCATGGATCATTTATGTTGGAGGATATTTTATGTGCCCATTATTTTTAAAAAATTGTAGAATAAAATATTAAACTTGCATCCAAAAATATATAAATGAGAAAATGCTTGACCATTTGAATGCAATAAATCATATATTGATCTTTTTAGACTCAGCCAAAGTTCTTAATTTTTTTATTCTATTTATGAATAAAAGACACCATAAAATGTGATTTACCTCATTTCTACTAAAATGTTGTTAAACACAATGACTGTCAGAATTCCATGTTGATCAGTTGTTTAAAACAGCTAATGTTAAACCTAAAGGTTCTTTATTGTATTTTCTATCTATTGTATACTGTATTCATCTGTTGTTCCATGAAGGTCCTAAAAAATTAACAGAACCTCCATTTCATGTTTTTTTTTTTTTTTTTTTTTTTTTTTTTTTACAGTTCACAAACTTTCTTTATACATTATACATTTTTTGGTATTCTTCTAAACATTTTTCTTAAGAGATACTTTTAAGAACCAAAAATATATTGATTTCTGAAGAAAATCTATGGTGATGCAAGTTTATTTAAAATTGTAAATTGTTTATTTATAGATTGATTTTATAAATTCATAAATGGAACCTATTTTAAATAGTATTCCAAAAACATCTTTAGATTATCCATTTGTTTCATTTGTTTTACATACTTCTTGGAGAACCCATTTATATGGCATTTTCTATATGCATTTTGCTAAAACTTGCAAATTTGAGTGTATAGTTAACACCAAAACAGGAGATTACATTACATCAATAAAAAGACAAAATATTTAACATCATATTGCATGTATTTTAACCTTTTTTTAGTCAGAATTATTAGGCCCCCTGAATTATTAGACCCCCCGTTTCTTTTTTCCCCAATTTCTGTTTAACAGAGAGAAGATTTTTTCAACACATTTCTAAACATAATAGTTTTAATAATTCATCTATAATAAGTGATTTTTTTATCTTTGTCATGATGACAGTAAAAATTATTTTACTAGATATTTTTCTAGACACTTCTATACAGCTTAAAGTGACATTTAAAGGCTTAGCTAGATTAATTAAGTTAACTAGGCAGGATAGGGTCATTAGGCAAGTTATTGTATAACGATGGTTTGTTCTGTAGATTATCGAAAAAATATATAGCTTAAAGGGGCTAATAACTCTGACTTTAAAATGGTTATAAAAAAATGTAAAAACTGCTTTTATTCTTGCCGAAATAAAACAAATAAGACTTTCTCTAGAAGAAAAAATATTATCAGACATACTGTGAAAATTTCCTTGCTCTGTTAAACATCATTTAAACAAAATTCAAAGGGGGCTAATAATTCTGACTTCAACTGTATATATGAGACTATTGACAAATAAAGATGTGAACAATTTTAGGATTGTGGAAGGCAAAATGCAATCCTTTACAGAATTGATATTGATAAATAATCACGTTGATTGCCGTTGTGAATACTTGAGGGATATGGTTGTCAAACATTTTCTTATACACTTTGCAACTTTTTGATACGTCATATTCTTTATTTATGCATCTTGCAGGAACTGTATGCACCGTAAGGTCAAGCACAGGCAAAGAAGTTCTCTTAGGTTCCAACTTCACCGTCTCCTGCATCTTCAACAAGCCATGCACTAAACAATTGTTTCGGAATAATGAGCCAATCAAGTATGAGCTATCTCCCAGGTCAAGAGAGGTGTTTGTGTATATTAGGAATTTAACAACGTTGAGCATCTTTACCTGCAAGTGTAATGACAACCCAGAGCCTTGCGGAATTGACATCACTCCAGGATGTAAGCCTTTAACTTTTAATGCTGATTTTAGGGTTCTCACATACATGCAATGTCTGGGTCATTGAATTTATATAGTGAATGTACATATGACATACATCATTCATAACTCCAAAACATTAAAACTGTTAGAAACTGTGCTTAGTGAATGTAATATATATTTTTTTATTCTTTTATCATAGTCTTTAAAAAAGTAAAGAAAATCTTTAAATGTTCCACAGTTGTGGTTAGAATTGCTTGAAATATATTATTTAGAGATGCAAAATAAAGTTATTTTTACTGTTTGTATTGACAGATTACAAACAGAGAGAAAAACAAATGCTTTTGAAAAGTTTAAACTAATTACTGTATTGGGTAACACTTTATTTTGATGGTCCATTTGAGTATTAGTAGACTGTCTGCTTAATATCTGTTGATACTGCTCCTTCAACAGACAATAAGCTGTCTATAAGAAACTTTGCAGGTACATGTCAACTCACACTAACCCTAACCCCAACCCAACAGTCTACTTATAATCTAATGAGAATGAATGGTAGGTTGATGCAATATAACTTAAATTCAACAAACGGACCATCAAAATAAAGTGTGACCCTGTATTGAAATTAACTGGACTATGTTTAGTATAATTTTGAAATGAAATCTCATGTTGACATGTCATTCTGTTACATGCTTCTTTTTCAGACCCTCCAAACTTTCCGCAAAATCTCACCTGTATACGAAAAACGGAATTTGGCAATGTTAGTTGCACTTGGACAACAGGAAGGGATACCAAAATTGTGACCACATGTCAATTACGGTTAGTAAAACTAGACAAATCAGCTTTACAAGAGGATCTTTATACTTTATCATATGATCTTATGACACAAACTAAAGCAGAAACAAAAGTAAAAGCATGATTAATTCTGTTTCTTTGTGCTTTTCAGGGTTCAAGGTGATCCACACCATGGCTATGAGAGTGTTATGAACTCTTCAGGATTTTGTTGGGCCACATTCCCTATCAAAAGCCGAATGTCACAACTAACTGTGTCACTCAATGTCTCTAATAGCCTGGGCTCAAATACCTCAGGTCCTCACACATTTACCCTCAGCAATATAGGCAAGTAAATAAAAAAGTAACTAAAACACCAGAAGAAATTGATTGTTTAGTGTTTAGGATCAATTAAGCTACTGAGTTTTCTATATAACCATTTATGGCTTACATAAAAACAGGACAAGCACTTTTTCTGCCTGGAACAAAAGGAGAAGAAAGGAGACACATTTTGTTAGATATTTCCATAAAGTAAAAAATAAATAAATATGTTTAGATATTTGAGGTTTATGGTGTGAAATGAAATAAAGCATTTGAGGGGTTTAAATTTATAGCTGTTTTTAGCAGTAACAATATGGTTTCAGATGTTATTTCAGTTATTATATTTTACTTTATATTAGCCTGTTATATTTTGAACTAAAAATATTAATATTAGTAGTTATTGTTAATTGTATCATTTAAAACTAGTTAAATTTAAAACTGAATAACATATATATATATATATATATATATATATATATATATATATATATATATATATATATATATATATATATATATACATATATATGTATATATATATTTATTATTATTGTTAGTTAATTCATTATGTAAATTACTGTAAGTGCTACTAATTCAGCTTATGTGTTTGTATGTAATCTTGATTTCTTTTTGAAAATGTAGCTGAAATCTCCTCATGGGTTTTAGCCAACTGGCTGAGAACCTCTGCATTAAAGGGCATAAAACTACTTGTATTCTCAGGGTTTCTGTGATTCTCTAATTCATTAATTGTGAAATTCACAAGAAACAACACTAAATATGGATTTTGTCGGTGTCCATGTACTTAAAAAAATAAGTACATGCAGGCGATTTTTTATTTTTTTTAGAGAAACTTGGATAAACGATGCTTAAAGCTTTTATTGCCTGTTGTGGCATTTTTAAATGTGGTTTGGGGAATTCCAGAGAATCAAAATTGGGTCAGTTGTACAGAAATTGCTTTTTTTACACCAACCCACTAGTTGACGATATTATTTATTACAGATAACTGCAAAAGAAGATACAATCTCGACTTTGATAAATATTGATCTGCATTTCAGCTGTAAAGGATACTGACAGATTTATTGCTTTTCCGTTTATGTACAGTACAACCATCATTACCGAAAATCAAGCATGTGGACTGCTCCTCCCGATGGTGCCACCTACACACTGACAACCACAGCATGAACTTAGTGGAAGTCCAATACAAATCGCCAAAAGGCATCTGGAAGAAAGTTCAGGTAAAACTTCTAAAATGTTTTGAATTTCTTGTTCTGTATATCCGATTACAATCATACCCAAGTGGTATTCAGACACAAGCCACATCTTTGATTCTGCAGACCTGTCAGTTTTGGTAAAGCTGATAAAGAAAAATGCAGAGTTGCAAAAAGTCATTTCATGATGACAGAAAAAACCCACAAAACCTCACAGATTAATTTGGTCGTCAAACCTCAAGCCCTCCTTGATGACTCAAAACTGGAAAAGAAAATGTCAAGAAAGGTTTTTTTTTCTTGTTAGGAAATTAAACCGCTGATTGCTGTTGCTCTCCCCACAACGTACGTCCTGTTGTGTCTTTATCAATGAAAAGATTTAAAACAGTACATCCAGCATGGGAAGAACAATTGTTTCCTTAAAATGACGAAACATGCTTGGAGATTGTAAAATTTAAACATGTTCAACCATTTGTCTTCATTCTCTCATTTCCATCCAATTTTTTTAGTTTTTGTTTGTTTGTTTGTACATGTAAGTGAGGTTTATAGCTATGCAAAGTTGTCTATTTACATCTGTACAAGGTGTGTCTGCAATTCAAAACATTTAAAAATACTTTATAATACTTTTGATATTCAAATATTGCTTTTCATATTTATTATTTTTTACAGTAAAATACATTATGCCTATGGGGTGCCTCTGTAACCCATGTATACAAGTATGTGTGTGTGTGTGGGAGAGGGGGGGGGGGGGTTCTGTTGTGCATCAGTAATATTAAACCACATGTGACTCATCCTTAAATGCCAAGTTTTAACTTACTTAAAATAATATATTAGAAAACACTGCACATCACTGAGTGTGAGAAGGATACAATCAAAGCTACACCACCAATGTGCATTTTTTATAATGATTTAAGAAGAGTTGATTATTCCATTTATACAATGGTTACCACACCTCAACTGTATTAATTTCTTACACATCTCAGCATTAACCTCCATTGCCAATTCCAAAAATAATATCGACTTGGGTAAACTATGTAGACTAATGCATTAGAGATGATTAAAAAAAAGAAATTGAGATAAACTCATAAACTCAGTATATGCAACTTCACAAAACTTCTGATGTAAAACTATTTTGTTGATACAGTTGCAGGCAAGTGCTGACAACAAGTATCTCAAGCTTAACTGGCGTTCTAAGCAAATGACGATTGTGCCACCCTCAAGGTGGTCATGCTGCCCTTTTGTGGACGAAAGTGAAGATCAGGAGTGGGTTGTGTGTGTGTATTTGTGTGTTGCTGACAGAAGTGAAGAACAGGGGTGGGGGAGGTGGGGTGGTGGTATGGTGTCACCTAGCAAGATGCCATCCTGGGAGGCGTTTTCAAAAGAATGACGTAACTTATGATTGAACTATCATAGTATGATGCATCATTTGGGAAAAGAAGAGTGTAGTGATGAGTCTTTGCCAAAATCGTAGTTTCAAAGTGCACTACAAAGGCAACACAATTGTCAACATGAAGATGTTATGGCTATCAATGATCATGGCTAACAATCATGGCTAACAATGATTTTAGTAAACGCACCCATGGGTGATTGCCCATATTGCCCATGTCTAAATCTGCCAGAGACTACTACAGCATATGTAATTAAGGCATTATGATAGAAGTTATATAATAAGTTTATTAATTAGACACCTTTGAACTTTCATTAACCAATCACCCTGAAGTATGGTGGAATAAGCAATGACAGTGTGTTGATGCTGTAATTTAACCTTTGATATTTTAAATATATTCTATTGTTTGAAAGCAATATTGGATGGAGCGAGAAAATAATGACAAAGCTTTTCCTTTCAAAACAATCACTACGTAAAATTTACAAAAAAGCTTTCAAACACTCTTGATTGACTTTTTTGTAATGTTAAGATATCAGAACAAGTGAGATAATACATCATATAATGTTTCCACAGATCAATGGTAAGAAAAGTTTAAACATATCCTTGCTGGAGCCATATACAAAATACATGTTTCAGATCAGGAGGAAAATAAACCAAACCATGGGTCTGTGGAGTTACTGGAGTCAAGCAAAGGAAGCAGAAACCAAAGAAGAAGGTAAATAATAAAATATGATTTCTCATAAAGTCCAGCATCAGATCTCAATTTGCGTAATTGCAATGAGCCACTTATTTTCACCGTCTTTAGAAACCGTAAGTTGGATCAAATGAATATAGGTAGTTATGTGCGTCCTGGAAATGTACTTCAGAAGTATGATGGTGTTAGATATGTTGACTGTTCTGATATCAGATAGTGACAGTTCTTTGTCAGCAAGTCTTCAAATAATGGGGGCAATAAAGAAGAAGCAAACTTGAATGGTTACAGATCAAACAGACCTTTGATTATTATTATTTTTAATGTTTCTTGACGTAATTGTGAAGTGATTATGGTAAGTACCTTACCATAAAAAAGTCTTTAATGACTTAAGATTTTGTGGAGATTATATTAGAGAAACACACCACAATGCAACTCAAATGAAGATACAAGTATATTTTATTTAGAAAGTCAACAGTTAAAGAAAGTTAACAGTTCTTAAAATTACCATTATTTTCTAAAGAATGTTATGATAGTCTAGAGCCTGTTTCAGACTGGATAAATAGGCAGAACATAAGCTGTGTATATTTTTGGGTGAGAACAGCAAAAATGGCAACCCAATACACTGTACTTGCCTGTATTTCATAAGCCACAGCTGAAAGCACAACTGAAAGCACAACTACAGCTTTTTTTTCAACGGAGAAACTTTTGTGCAATAGACATCCAAAGATCAGGGATTCAAGCGAAAGGTAAAAAACCTTTAGTTTGCATCCCTGATCCTTGGGATGGTAAAACATTAAGTGGGATAGACATTTATATTCAAAGATTTAAAAAAAATACTTATTACTTATTATACTTAATACTTATTTCTAGGCCTTAATTGCTCAGAGGGGCAAATTGCTCAAACTCATGGAAAAGTGCACACAGGGTCAGGCAGAACTTCAAAAAGACTTTTAGATGTCTTTCTCATGCTCCCGTAGCTAAGTTTTTTCATCTCAAACTAGAAGGTTTTCCATAAAAATCTAGGATGGATGTTACAGGCCCCATGGGACCCACTGGTCAAACAAATTAATAACCTTGTGCAGTGCTATGTTCCGGCATTGTTAACATGACAATGTCATAGACAGAAGAACTGTGCACTATTTACTGCACAGTAAAATAACAATTTAAATAGCCACTCCACTCTTAGTGTAAAGAATCTGAAGAACCCGTTAACCAGAAATTACCTTAAAAAGATTATTTATGGAACTATAAAAGTTTTTATTTTAAGGGTGTGAGGTGTATAGACATACAAGTACCTAAACTACACAAGATGGTAACATAACTGATTTTGTTTCTTTCTCTTTAGCTCCTGACAAGGTCCTTGACTTCTGGTACCTCCGAGAACTGAAACCTTCACAAAGTGAAAAGTGTTTCCGCATATTTTGGAAGGCACGTAACCGTTTACTAACCAGAATCATGCATTTATTTTTAATTTTAATGGTTTACTTAGTGGTAGGCTATGGACAGTTTGGTAAACAATCCCCTCCCCCTCTACTTTACTTTCACATGGGCTTTTAAAGGTCAAGCCACCACTAAGCGACAACTTGCTTAGTGTGAATTGCATCTTCCCAAACTCACTGTTAGTGTGAAACCAAATGTTAGTCGACAGTCAGTTTCAGTTTACAAAAAATGAGTAGTGGCTTAAAAGAAATGATGGATTTGAGAACTCCAGTCGCATATGTGCCAGACTAACTCAAATATTAAAAAGTTTAAAATATTGCATCGCATGATAAAAAATGGCTTATTTACATTTTCTTTGTGTTTTAGGAATTAAGTGTGTCAGATGCCAAGGGGAAAATCCATCAGTATGATATAACTGTGAAGAAGGGGAACTCAAGAGAAATCATTGTAGTTCCACGCCGAATAAATGAGAGCATATGCTGCTCTGACTGCTCTGTTTCAGTCTCCGCAGTGAACTCAATGGGTCAATCTCCTGAAAATTTCATTAAGCTTCAGACTCCACGTAAGCCTACTTTTTTTTTGTAAGAAAGGCAATGTGCTAACCATATTACTGTGGTTTTATTTAATGCATATGTTTAAGCCAGGTTTTCTTTTTACAGATCTCGTTTCAGGTTTCCTGTCCCATAAGTCATTGAGCAATCATAGCATTGCCCTCTCCTGGCCGAGGCTTGCCATTGCAGGCAATATAACAGAGTATGTGGTGCATTGGTATCCTGTTGGAGACATTGAAGAGATTCAGTGGATTAGGGTGGTGGACACGAAAGCCAATATTACCGGTAAGTTTGATTGGATGGTTTGTTTTCACAAATGAAAATGAAGTTATAATTTACTCACTCTCAGGTTGTTGAAAACCTGTATGCATTTCTTTGATCTGCTGAAAGAAAGTGTTTGGAGTATTTTGATTGTAGCTTTACTAGAATGTTTTTGTTCTGCAGAACAAAGAAATTAACCAGAAGGACTAAGTTTGAAAGAATTGTACATTTCTGGGTGAACTATCAATTTAAAGACCAGTCAATAGTAGTTTGGTGGTCTCTAGGCTATGATGAAAAGTTTCTCTGCTGTTGAACCTTTCATTACTGTGTCTCTCCAGGTCTACGGCCTCAAGAATGCTTTCAGGGTGCTGTTACAGCTCTGACCTCAAATGGTCCTGTGGCATCTAATAAAGACCTCTCCACATGGCAGTCAGGTTCGAGCCTTAATGCTTATTCTGCAATGTATAAATCTATCAATGATTAAATCAGTATAACAGCACACTTTTATTCAAATGTTTGCGATCATTAGGATTTATTTAATTTATTTAATTTTTTGGAAACTTTTACTCAGCAAGAATGCATTAAATGCGCTACATAAATACACACTAAATATTCAAATGCATTTTTATTCAATGTATTATGTGTTTATTTTTTGGTATATTCAGTATACTCTATAACAATTATAGGTTTTCACAGTAATGCCACAGAAATAACTAATTCAAAGTACCTTTCAGTAAACAGTTCTTACAGTAAATATTTAAATAATAAATTCATATAAAGAACATTGTAGTAGTCAAAGTTATATTTTCTATTAAAAACATATTTTTTAAAGTTTTAAAGGTTCTTCATGGAATGCTGGATGCAAATAAAGATTTCTCAAAAACATATTTTTTAAAAATTGCTGTTCTGTTTCCTTTCATTTACAGCTCCAGAACAGGGTCCGGTTCCTCAACAAGTGAAGAAGAAGACTGAGAGTTTAATAGTAAAATGGTCTAAAATTCCTCAAGAAAAGAGAGGAGGCTGTTTGAAAAAATACACAGTCTACTTGATGGACAAGTCGAAGGGGGAAATACACCATTACAGTAAGACAAGTAATCTTGCAGTAAAAAGTAGTAGCTGGTGGATAAATGCATACCGTAATGATAAACTGAAGTGTTCGATTTTCACTTATACTTGACTTTTCCATCGTTGCATGGCTTGGTGTTAGCAAGATAACCAAAGCTCTTACACGGAGAAGACTTTATTGAAGATTAGTGCAGTGCAGTTCTTTAGCAGGCAGCAATGTTAACACATCGTCCTGCAAGAATCTTAACAAAGAGAATCTGTATGTGAGGCAGTACTAAATAATAGTTGCAAAAAAAGGATATGATGACACTCCTGCAGAGACTAGAATATACAAGACATCTGATACCGAACTGGAACTTCCTGAGAAACATGGTTCTATTGGTTAGGTGAGGTCACAGTTTCTTTTTGGTTTACACCTTTTCAGATACAAAGGAAAGAACCCAGCAAACAATCTTGTGTATAATAAACGTCTAGACATCTAAACGTAGACAGCTTGGCTAAAACAAGGCTAAATTTGGGCTGCGAGTAGGGTTACCACTTTTCATACAAAAAAATAAGGGACACACACTGCAGCAGGGGCCATGTCCCTTGGGGGCCTAGACCACAGTGATCACAGGCCCAATAACATGTAAGTGGTGGTAAATGGCAACTTAAAAAGTTTTTTAGGAAAGTATGAACACTTGAACATTAAAAAAAACTTTTAATTGAGTCTTTTATTGAAATATGTTTATGCAGATGCAGTCAGTCTTTCTCTTTTACATTTCTGCAGCACTGATATAGCTGATGTTATGTTTAATAGTGTGGTACCGGCGTTAACTCAGCTGCTGTAACCTAGAGGTGAGGAGAACACGCTAATAAACCTAATTTTAAAGGGTGGTATTGATAACAGATTTTGGCTAAAATAAATGTCATTATTTACAGTAACAACTATCCAAACATGGAAACAGCACATACATAAACTAAAACAAACATTAGTTTTACTATAAAAAATGATATGATCAATTAGTCCTGACAGCATAGGTAACTGAACTAAGTTAATCATGTTCTATCTTAATTTTATAAGTTATGCAAGCTGTTTTAAGTCAGTTTAACATAATATAAGTTCAATGAACTCATGATTAATATGATTCAGCTTAAAAAATTAAGGCAACCAGGAATTTATTTACAATGTAGTAAAGTTTTCATATAGCCTATTTCTAACTAAAAAATATGGAAACTAGCAATTTACTAGTTTATTTTTTATAATTAGATTATATTGTATAACTATATATATTGTTTATTGATGTATTAAATGTAATGTTTTATGTAATAAATTAAAGCTTATGTGCCTGTCTTAACCTTAACAAACAAATCATAATATTACATTGGAATATAATCCACTAACACTATATTTACAGAATTTTTACAAATTACAATTTGTGTCCCAGTTTGTGAAAACCAGGCCAAATCTAATTCTGAGATAAAGTTTGATTGTAGCCATTCATTTCCCTGTTATTTCAGTTGTTGACATTGCTTTAATGTTAAATACATATATTATTATTTTTACAGACTGTTCTTTATTTCATGTAGAAAACAGTAAATTACAAAAAAAAAAAAAAAAACTTCAAGACTCCAGCTAGATTTTCACAGACTGGGTCACTGTCATTACTATGTCTGCTTCGGGAGAGACTTGGGGTACAAAGAACTGTCTGACTGCTTTGATTTTTACGAGCTCTGTCATTGTGGGAATGCTGCTCTCCAGAGGCACAGACACACAGACCACCATGAGCCACATAGAACGCTGCCTGACAAATTGTGAAGTTGGCTTAATAATAATTTCTAACTCTCTGCAGCCAGGTATTCGTTTCCTCCCACTCCCTGCAGTATTTTTGCAGTCGCCTGCGTTTAAACTCTGAAATTTTAAGATGCAGAGGGTTATCTGGAGAAGCATCTGCCATTACTCTGTCAAGACTTGACAGACTCTGCTTAGAAGACCCGCCCTCCTCACTGGACATAGACCAATCAAACTAACAATGATACCAAGTATAACCCAATCAAAAGTAGGAAATGAGGCATCTTTAGTAAATGTGTGTGGGATGATTTGCATGAAAAGCTACCTTAAAAATGATAAAAATATGGGACAAAACCCCTGCCGTATTGATTCAAAACGGGATGCGCAATTTCAATCTCAAATATGGGACGATTCCGTATTTTAAGGTACGGGTGGCAACCCTATAGCTGTGAGTGAAAATCTAATAGACTAAGAATAGCTCAAAACTAGACTAGTCATCAAATAAACAGATTAGACAGACTTTTATGTGTAGTCATTCATTTGTTTATTAGATGACTAGTTTAGTTTAGGTCAATTTTTAGATGTCAACTAGATTTTCACTGACAGCCCAAATATATCCTTGCTTTAGCCAAGACGACTATGTTTAGACATCTATTATACATCTATTAGACATCTAATAAAAACAAACAAAAATGATTGCTGGGAAGCAACTTGAGGGATGTGAAGTTGTTTTGATTAAAGAATACATGGGCACATATTTAAAAAAAACTAAACAAAATATTTCATGGTTAAATAAGAACTCATTTCTTTAGGCCGATTACATATATTCAGCAATATTAGTGATAAATAAAGTGAGTGAAGAGGAACTTTCTGATGTAGTGCTTGACTTTATAGGTGTGGACTATCCATTGACAGAGTATATCATCAGTGGTTTGTCACCTGGGCAGTGCTACAATCTGTGGGTCACGGCCTGGACAGATGCTGGAGAGGGACCCAGAGGAAGTGATCTCCCATTCTGCACACCAACAGATAGTATGTATTTGTGTTTAGATCCTCAAACCTAGTCCTGACATTCCAATGACATGTCATTCTATGTCCATATTTTGCATGTTAGAAGTTAGCTAGTTTTGCACAGAGAAGGAACAGTGTTCAGATTAGCATGTTCCCTATAAAGTGTTCCCTGAGCTTGAAGTTTACTTCACTTTAAAAAAAGATTTCCACCAGATTGTATGGAAGTGTGAAGGTTTTTTTTTTTTAACTGAAATCTTCACATTTGCATACAAGTCTTGTCCCACATGGTTTTAAACTCTTTGTTGAACTAGAATCATGGCAGAATCTCCCATGATGTCCTTTACAGGACACATATGGCCAAATGGTACAAAAAAAATATGCAGAGCTGTAGTAAACCTGGACCAGGTTTCCCATATAGAAATCCAACATACTATATGGCAATATATGCAAACCTCATTTTAAACATACAAGATCATATTTGGATTTTACAAAACTTCTGTCATCGTTTATTTACTTCACTTATTTCAAACCTGTTGAATAAAAAAAAAAAAAGTATATTTTTAAAAATGTAGGAGACCTGTAACGATTGATTTTGTAGTAGTTTTTCCTTTTATAGAAGTCAATGGTTACAGGTTCTCAGCTTTCTTCAAAATATCTTCTTTATTGTTTAATCAATATAAAAAGAATCTCATAAAGGTTTAAAACAAATAACAGGTGAATAAACTATTACTATAATTATATCTCAAGCAACCACAGAATTACAAATATGTATATATGTTAATATATTAACTATTTAAACTACAAATAAGCACATATATGTTTAACTAATTATCTATTGGAATTACAAATGTAAATATTCACATAGATTTACTAGTAAACTATTAAAACTACAATTATACACGTTCACATACATACACTATTAGAATTACAAATAAGTACATTGTTCAAATACATTGTTAACTAGTAAACAAAAATAATTACAAATATGTAGATACAGTATATGTTGACATCTATTAACTGTTAAACTACTAGAACTAGAAATATTTACATACATGTTCACTATACATGTCACTTTACACACAATGTAAGAAAATGTTAATATTAGAAATATTAGTAAATATTGGATAGATCTGTGATATTAGTTACAATTTAATAAATTAAGTGTGTAAATTATATTGCACTACAAAGTAGTTTATGCTGGCAATTTTCCATTTCTTTAAAAAACACTTTTGGGTAAATCTGTCTTTTCAGCAGAGAGACTACTTTCCCTTGTGATCTTGGCTGGTGGAGCAGTACTCTTTTTCTGTCTTTTCCTCATCTGCATCTGTCAGTTCTCCTCTGTTCAGAGACGGTAAGACATAGTCGATGCTTAAAATCTTTTGTAGAAATGCTGTTTATGTTATTTACAACATAAAATGTCTGTTGTGCTTGATAGATTCCTAAGTTGTTTCCAGTGTCTGCTGCCTAGAGTTATTCCAGATCCAGCAAACAGCAAATGTGCAAAGACTTATGACAAGGTAAATGTATGGAGATGGCTACATTACACATGCTATATACAGTACAAAAGCACTTATGGACAATATAGGCATGTTTTCAAGTGACCCATTAAGATTTTTTGTATATTATCTATCATGTTATATGTAGCTGTTTGTATACGGGTTAAAGGTCTGCAACATCAAAATGTACAGTAAATGCAAAACTAGGAACCTTTAAAAACATAACATCTAGGTTTGAATTTTTCACCAAAAATTAAAAGTTCATTAAAATTGTAACCATAACGTCATTAAAATGTCTCATTTGAGAACAGAAAGTAAGACTGATTGTGTCTTTACCAACTTAAAAATATTTTAAAAAATAGGGTTAGGGTTAAATTATATGATTTTAACTGTCGGTTACAGCAGTCAATGTTTCAAGTTATGTGATTTTGCTTAAAGTAAATCTTGACATGTTGTGGGTAACAAATATATCAGACTACGCACTGCACACTGTTTCACAATCAATCACCGGGATGTCTATGACGCAAATTCTATCATCAAAATACCGCATACATTACCAATGGCTTTGAAACTGTCTACCAAGTGTTTCCCACAAACGGCAGTTTCCTCCATAAATTGGTCTTTCCTGAATGAAAACTGTAGATTCATTCTGCGCCATCATGAAGTGATTTTCGGAGCTACCAGAGCGGTTTCACCACAACAGCTTTAAACAAAGCCGTAGACAGCCAGTTCAAAGATACACTCATGTAAATGTATCCGTTTGCATGATAATTCAGTCCAGTACTCACTCACCAGGCTGCAGAAAAACCTCGGCTACTGGTTACCAATATTTAAAGTTTTATTCTGTCATTTTAGTCCAGTGATGACACATAAAACAGGCAACCACACAGTTGCTCCCCAAAGCAGCAGTCTCTAGTTTGGCCAGTTTAAAAGCTGTGTATGAAAGAAATGATGTGCTCCTATTAGGTAAATTTATTAAGTGAAACGATGAAGTGTTGCAGATTAGTGTTGTGAACTGACAATCTGCATGAGCAGAATTTCCTGGTTACGAAACCCCATGACAGCCACGTCCAGCAAATCATGCATAATTATCTAATCTGAATGCGGCTTTCGAATCAATATATCCAAAAGTGAAAATTTTGCTGATTTGCTCACCATGTATATGATTTTCTTTTAGTCTAATTTAAATGACAGTTATTTAAAAAAAAAAAAAAAAAAAAAAAAATATATATATATATATATTTTTTTTTTTTTTTTTTTTTTTTTTTTTAACCCTTCGCAATTGACCCTTCACTAAGCCCCGCCCTCCTTAGTTACTGTTGCTATGCCTGTCAAGCTTTCGTGCCTGGCATGGCTTTTACAATGTGTATGCGCCGGTGTCAGACATTGCCAGGGATATAATTAATCATTTTTGGCGAACAGGTGAGATATCGGAGAAAGCCAGACAAAAAAGGACTGCAGTATGCATTACAGGGGTATATTCACCACATAATAGGCAACCGAATAGAGAATAATTCAATCAAAATTTAAGCTAGCTTAGCCTAGCCGCCTCATACGCTGACCATTTAACAGCTTAGCTCATGCACAGCAGAAGAGGTGACATTTAAAAATAATCTAATAATAACAAAATAAACTGTGATTTCTCTATTTTTAGCCAAAAAGCCTGATAGACTGTTGCTGTGCAATGAAATATAGTGTTACTAACCGACGAGGAAACATCCATGGACAGTGCTTTTACATAATTCACTCATAGAAAGAGCAGCCAGAAGGGGGAACTTGATGGATTTGTGCCCAATATTATCATCATCATTGACCCATTACAATGTACAGTAAGTTACCTATATATAACTGTCAGTATGTTTGTGTACTCTTTATAAATTACTGAAAAACATCTGCAGGTAAAGTATATTGATCGCAAGTGCTCAGTTTGTGATCATATCTCTGTTTTGTTCTGTTGATTTGAACTTTCAAATATTCGTAGCTTGAAACAGATGGAAATATGAAGTTCAGTAAAGTTAGCAACAGATTCACAGATTTGTATTTTCCAGATCAATAACTCATGTCATTATGACCTATCCACTATTAGTATGACTAACGTTACTATGGCGAAGGCTTAAATGGAGCTGTGCTCATAATATAGAGCGGGAAAAAAAAAAAAAAAAAAAAAAAAGACAGCTGTAAAACATAACCTGCTTTGTATTTTGTAGGAAACACAGTTCAGATATGTTTAGGGTAAGAGGTGCGAGTTATTGCTGTCGCTCTATTACTGAATGTGCCAGGAATATCAAAACAAAATGAACTTACTTCGCTCCTTTAGCACCCCTCACAAAGCTTGATCCACACTGGCGTTTCTCCTCTTGGTTTTTTGGTTTTGAAAAGGGACAAAAATTCCACCCATCACGTCCAAACTTTAAGGATAACAGGTATCAGATTTGCACAATCCATATGCACTCGCTTGAAAGAGCCCCTGCGCGTAGCTACAGTTGCTAAGCCACGATTGGTGGGTGGAGGTTTTGGGGTGTGGCTTAGCGAAGGGTCAATTCACAAATTAAGCACTGGTGCCACTGATGTTGCTGATTCACTGCCCCTCCCCCTCCCCGATCGTCATTGACAGCAGGCACACACCTTCAATAAGTACATCAATAGAAGAAGCTGCATTAATAAAGTGGCTCAAAAAGTAACTAAAAAGTTATTTATACATATGAAAAAAATTAAACTAAATTTGATTTTTATTTGGTTTGCACATGAACTTGCTGAATTGTTTCAAGGAATACATTGCAATATTTCAAGAGTAATTCATTAAATGAATTAAAACCACATTATTTCATTTACCAGAAACAAAAATATAACAATAAACTGAATTCATTATTTTTTGTGTGCCACCCCAAGATTTGGTGTGGCCTCTTCTGGCCGCCCCTAAGAAAATCTTCTGAGGGCGCCACTGATACTGCACTTTTAATGATGTACAAGAAGCAAATTAACACAACTTTTACTAACAAACTAACGCTACAAATATTTATGTCTTAAATTTTGCATTTTCAAACATTCAAAACCTTGAGCTTTTAAAATGTCAATCCTTTTTAGGTTTCTTTTTAGGTTTATGTTGAATGTTTTGTTAACTCACATGTTGAAAATGATATAATTGTGATTGTAACTTAAGTGGAAATGTTCAATTTTCAAACGCACATCGCTTGCACATTGTGAAAACAATGCTGAGTTATAAGAAAACTTATTTTTTTAATTTTATGGTTACGTTCCACAGTGGTAAGTCATTTGAGTTTGGGCTGGCACAAAGATTAAAGAACAAGTTCACCCAAAATTTGAAATTGACACTATTTACTCATCCTCATGAACATAAAGGAAGACGTGTAAGAAAGCTGAAAATCGACTTTTACAGTAGGAAAATACTATGGAAGTCAATGGTTATAGGTAGGGCCAGATGGAATCTGGGGGATTTTTTTGCTATTTCTGCACAGAATTGTGTTAAAAATCTGCGGATTTATTTTGGGAATCATACTAAAAAAAACTTAATATATGAAACAAAAAGTAATATCTTTTTAACTGATATTTAATGTTTACAATGCAAACCCAATTAGATCTACTTTATTTGGTAAGCAAAGCAAGTCTCTCATAATATCTCTACTAAAAATTAGAAAATACTACTTTACAAACTGTACTGTAAATAAATCATATGAATATTTTCATATTAGTCAATAATATTACTGTAATTAATTTAAAAACTGAATAAATATAAATGTACACACATTTACAAAAGTAAATAAACAGAATCAATGATGAGCTAAAAATGTGCAGAATTATGTGCGCGCAGATTCCGTGTGGGCCTAGTTATAGATGTTTAGCTAGCTTCAAAATCTTTCTTTGTTGAAATGAAGAAAGAACAAGTTAAGGCTGAGTAAACGATGACAAATTATTTGGTTTTAGTGCAATGTACCTCTAATAAATTGTGTTAGCATGTACCGTTTTCTATTTACAGTACTGTATTATTTTATATTAGGGCTGAGCGAAATGACAAAAATTAATAACCATATGAACCACATGGCAGTTTGCTTCTCTGAGAGGAGAACAGATATGCATTTGAGGAAACGGGAGCTCTTTTTAAACACTTGTGCGTCATGATTCACATCACCTGAGCTAGCAACACAAATCCCTCATGAGCCAAGTGACACAAGACTGTCACATTCTCGTACTGTGTATGATTTCACCTTCCTTTTGCTCACTCAAACACTGTTTTTTTGTCAGTCGTGCTCCTCATTGAGATGGCATTTGCACGCATATTGAAAAATGGATTGACAATCCTGTCTATTGTCCCAAGAGTCTCTCATTAGCCTTGATTACCATTAACAGTGAATTTTGTGACACCACCAACTAAACCATGGAGCATTATATGAAACAATACACCTATTTTTTGTCATATCACACAGCCCTTACATACTGAATTACAATTGTTGTCCAGAATGGTGTAAATCAGTACGATAATCATTTGTTCCTCTAGGAAATTCTATTCTATCTTCAACAATATGACTCCAGCATGAGCGAGGAGCCTGAAAATGTGGAAGTGGAGGAAGTGCCCTATCACCCCAGCTTCACCTGCACCTACATCAAAAGCTTCTCTCAAGAGTCTGACTCCTCTGATGCCACGCAGATCACCAGGAACACGGACATCTCCGAGGACTACATCTCCACACACGGAGCAATAAGTGGAGGAGAGGAGGAGGAGGACGAGGAAAAAGAGATGGGTTTGGATGAATTTGAATTCTTCCCAAGCATTCGCAGCCCTTTCTTGGAGCCCCTGGTTTCGACTGGAGGGAAGCTGACACTGGACGTGGTGAAAATAGACTGCAGTGAATTCCTTGATTGCACATGATCCTCCATGGGCATTAAGATTTGACCTGAATTTAACTGTAATATGGGTGCTGAAATGTAATGATGGAGATCACAAACATCATTACAAAGACATATTTGCAAAAAAGCATCTTGCTTTTAATCCCAGCCATGCCTGAAAGAGGACAAGCGACTTATCTTTTTTCATACTGTTCTTTTATATCAGAGTGAAATGGATAATGCGAGAGGAAGCAGAGCAGAATGCTGTTGACTGAAAGGAGGGAACATGATGTAAAGTCAGCATGAAGCAGAAGTTCCAATAGTCTTTCTTATTGTGATCTATAGGTGAACAAAATGGGGTTTTGAAGAAGGAAATCCGGTTTTGGTTCATCAGGAATTTATTGGATTGCTGTGGTTTGCTGTTAGTAGTTCTTAACCCAGAGTGAGAGCTCTGAGGTGTTGAAGGAGTTTCTTGGCAGGGCTCTAAGTGTACATTTTAGGGTCTTGACACACCAAAATGATTGTTTGTGGCCAAGGTAAGCCATTGGTAAGCATCTATCTGGCGAGTATTTGCTCACATTGGAAGCATGTTCAGCATGTTAAAACGACATTGAAGCTGTCAATGAATCAACAAACTCTCGTCAAGATCATAGTTTCTTGGTCGGTGCACATGAATACAATCATAAGTGATGAAAGTGTGCATATAATTCATGATGGGTCTCTTATCTTATGATTTTCTCAACTGAACATACAGTTGAAGTCAGAATTATTAGCCCCCCCACCCCCCCAACCACCCCCAATTTCTGTTTAACGGAGAGCAGACTTTTTCCAACACATTTCTAAACATAATAGTTTTATTAACTCATTTCTAATAAGTGATTTATTTTATCTTTCCCATGATGACAGTAAATAATATTTGACTAGATATTTTTCAAGAAACTTCTATACAGTTTAAAGTGACATTTAAAGGCTTAACTAGGTTAACTAAAGCAGGTTAGGGTAATTAGGCAAGTTATTGTATAACTATGGTTTGTTCTGTAGACTATCAAAAAAATATAGCTTAAAGGGGCTAATAATTTTGACCTTAAAATGGTTCTTAAAAAATTAAAAACTGCTTTTATTCTATGCTGCTGCTTTTTATTCTATTCTGCTTTTATACATACTGTGAAAATGTCCTTGCTCTGTTAAACATCATTTGGGAAATATTTTAAAAAGAAAAAAAATTCAAAGAGGTGGGGGATATAATTCTGACTTCAACTGTATATTTTTAACATGAGCCACCTGCAATAAAGAAAATGCTGAAAATATTGCATTGTTTACTGTTTTTATTACTGTAGTTCTAGTTTCAGTTTATAATTTGGTGTTTATGCTGAGCTTTATTCATCTGATGTTGGGTCAAATGTGGACAAATCTATCAATGGATTTTTCAGTTATATTTAAATTACACTTTTTAACCCAATGGTTAGAATTGTCCTTATTTGACCCAATGTTGGAATAAACAACCAAGCGTTTTTAAGATGATACCTCCTGATAAAAACAGATTACTTCTTCCATGCTGGCACAGAATGCCCATGCTAGTTAGCTGTTTTCTCTAGTCTTTTTGAGGTGTTCAAGCACAGCTTTCAGGGCAGAGAGTGTATACTTTTTTGATTAAGTTAATCCTACTTCATTGCAATAAAAAGTGTAATCAATAGTGCATGAAAATGGAAAGTATGAATGAAGTTATCAGGCGACTTAGTGGCGCAGTGCTGTCACCTCACAGCAAGGAGGTCACTGGTTCGAGCCTCAGCTGGGTCAGTTGGCGTTTCTGTGTGGAGTTTGCATGTTCTCCCTGCGTTCGCATGGGTTTCCTTCAGGTGCTCACACTCTGCCTCTTTGTCCTTGTTTGGTAAGTGGCTTTCGGGTACAAGCGCTCTATAAAACTTTATAAGAAGACTCATTCAATGGTCATAACAAATGTTTCCAAAGCGATGTAATGCTTTCGAAAATTACCAATCGCTATATATATCCATGCCTAATATCCGATGGCCAGAAAGTGATAAATTTTTTTTTAATTGTTAAAATTTTGGTATTTGTGATGCAGCAAGTCCAGAGACCGATGTATACACCCTGATATTATATAAAATTCACTTGTGTGATAGGTCTAAAAGGTGACCAAAGGAGTAACAGCTTGGACCCAGAAACAGTATTCCATACGTCACGACTTTACAATCGGAAAGGTTTTCAATGTCAATTTCGAATACTTTGATTATTCGGCCAGCCCTATTTTAAGGTATTATGATTACTGTGCTAAAATACGTTCTTTTTACATGCCTGGGGAAAAAAAAAAAACTTTTCCCCCTTTGAACACAATAAATTGTATTTTGTGAAACAATTAAAATGTTTTGTCCGCCTAAATAATAAAAATAAATCATTGACTTCTGCTGTGTTCTTCAGTTTTAAAAACCACTGATTTCTTTACAACTTGAAAAAGGTATATTTGGATAAATTTGCTAGAGATACTGCTGTTTAAAAAAAAAAAAAAAAAAAAGTTAAAATTATCTTACATATATGGTAGGAATGGTATAACAGAAAATTTTTGCGGTTTTACAAACCACAGTATACTTGAAACAGGTTATTGTCCCATGCCTAGTCACTTGTTGGTTCACACAAATATGTTTTCACTGGTGCCCACACAACCATTTTCAGTGACAATTGCCATTGAAATAGTCACACTTTTGCACTTTTTTTCCATCAATCATCATCTTGCATCACAAATCAAACATGACACAAATCAAATCTATGCAAGCAAACCTGAAAACGGAAAGTATCCACTAATACCCACAATATTTTTTCAATCTAATGGACATTTTGAGCTTTTGAGCTCTTCTGTATGGAATGAACCTTCAATGTGGCCCACTGAAAACTGAATTATCTTATTATATTAGAAGGCTGCAACAGACTGGCAGAAGTTTGAAACAAAAGCAAGTTTGACTTCATGACCTTTTAGCACACATGGCCTTCAACCTCTTATCTCTGAAATGCCGATGATCTAACACCCATAACCGCCCAATCAAGAGTATGTAACATATTTTACAGACGTTAATTCTTTCCATTAAACACTCAGATTCTTTCCAACACTAACCATTCACTTTAACACTGCAATGTTTCAACTGTTTCACAACACAGAAATCAAGAAACAAAAGCTTCAATTTCACAGCTCAATAAAGTTTTAAACTGCTGGCTAACATTTAAAGGCAGGGATCAAGTCCAAATGAAGAATAAATATTTTTGAAGAAAATTGTGTAGTTTACTGCTTCTAAGATGGTGAATGGAGATGCCAATATGGTTTTGGATATAGATAACCTATAGATTGGACTATTACACAATTGTTAGTATTAAACTAAATTTAATAAACTAGATTCCTACAATTTAAATGGAAATGTAATGGTCATAATAGCACACACATATACTGATACCGCCTTATGTGCCACAAATTTAAACTTGATTAAACTAGTAAAATTAAAGCTAGAATACGCAGAAATGACAATGTCAGGATTGATTAAATGAGTGTCTGGTTACTTCAAGATTCCACTCTTTAACATTACATTTGTTAACAGGAACTCACAATAGTTATAATTTCTTCAGGATTTATTGCATTTGCATTGACTAAAAATACATTTGTTTGCAATCTTTGCTGAAGCACAAATCTTCATTAGTTTGTTTAGGTTTAATCGGCTAAACAAAACTATTTAGAAATGTAATAGCCTTATGCTAACCTCTGATTTGGCCCACCATTCCATCTGAGAAGAGAGGAAGAATGATAGGGATGGTTTAAAGCAGGGGTGCTCAACCCTGTTCCTGGAGATCGACCTTCCTAAAGAGTTCAGCTCAAAAACACCTGAATCAATTAATTAGGACCTGAACAGCACTTGATAATTACAGGCAGGTGTGTTTAATATGAGTTGCAACTGAAATCTGCAGGAAGGTCGATCTCCAGGAACAGGGTTGGTCACCCCTGGTTTAGAGATTGTAATTTCCAATCTAATTAACCTTTTGTTTGTTTTATTGTTTAAGTTAACTGAAACTAAATGCTTCAATTAAATAGTGTGAATTAACCAGATTTAGTTTAAATGTTGAAACTATCACCTGATGGATAGAGGAGAATGCAGAGATTTTGGTGAGCAAATCAAGGCAAAGACAGATTCTGCTTGACTAGTGTATTCAGCATTGAACTCAACTGTTCATGTTTTGATAGCAATAAGTTATAATTTAAAAGTAAAACTGCATTGGTTAATATAATTTCAAGTAATGTTTATTTTATTTATAAATTAGGAACGTACACATGGCAACTTTAAGGTAATATAGCTTGACATTTACTTAAAGCACACTGCTTATATTTGTGTTTTGGCCCTTTGTTCGAAAAAGTTTGGCCACGTGTGCATTAAAGAGTACTTTTGTATGTTGCTGACACTTTTAAGTAGTTTAAGCTGCCCTTGATAATATAACAAACGAAAAACAGATAATCACTGAGGAAAGGCGAGTTAAACAAGTAGGCCTACATAAAGGGTTTAATTTTCAAGACTTTCTGGATTAAATAATCAAATGAAAACGCATGTTCTAACAGCTCCGAAATAAAAAAAATTAAAACACTACTCCACAAGCGAATTTGAGAACTTTAGAATCAAGAACTTACCTTTCCCGCTATCGTCGAACCTGCACTCCAACTCGGACACCATTTTCCCCCAGGTGAATCATTTCAGTCGATGACGTGGTCTCGCAAGAGTTCAGTTCACGAGTGCGCCAGTGCGGTGGGTGAAGTTGAAAAAAGAAACGCTTATCGTTCACTGACGATCTCTCCCAAAAAAAAAAAATTTTTTTTTTTTTTAAAGCATGATATCCTCTGGAATAGTCAAGTATCGTCAAACAGAAAAAACTAGATAATGTATATATGAAAATTGTACATCAGCTAATATTAGTTATTTTTTCAATCGCTTTGGTACATTTCTCAGATCAGAATTGACATAAAACAACCTGTTCAATCTTCAAATCGTCGTGTCACTTGTGCACATCAAATTAGCAGTTTCTTATTCCTTTGAACAAGTTGAAAATGTTTTTGTACATCCATACAAAAGTACTGCCAATTATAATTCATTTAACACATTTAATCGTATTTTCATGGGTTTACTTGCAAAATTGTTGACTATTGTCATAATGTATTTTTCTCTACATTTTCGTTACTTTTCCTTACTAAATCTGTCTACATTTGGAACATTTCTCCCAGACGAATCTTGACTTTCTCCAATGAAGGTACATCTCAAAGGATATTGTCCTAGGTTCACATTTCTACTTTTTCTTTTTGCTATTCAGTGCTCTTTTCCTTTCAGTGTCTCAATGACATGATCTGCCAAAAGGTTACAGTACAAACAGAAAAAAAAAAAAATAAAAATTGCCATATTTTACATCAGAAGACTCCTCCAGAGTAGTTATATCTACTTAAGTAATTTGACTGTCTTATCTATACACAATGACAAGGACTAGTACATTCAGTGAAATTCAGTTTTGAGATGGAGCAATAGTTTTGCAGGTAAATCATGATGTTTTGTGTGTTGCTTTGAGAGATGCACTTGGTTTTGCAAATTTCAATTGAGTAATGTACCAAAGCAACTGAGAAAAACGAACGTCACCGACTCCGTTTAAATCCAAAACTATGAAAAATAACACTACTGTATTACCATTTATTTTATGTTAATCTCCCCATATTTTAATAGTTAATTTAACTATTTTATTGATCAAAAATTGAAAATGTTTTATTTCAACTAATTTGATTTTTTTT